GATTATGACTAATAATAGTCAGATACATACAGATTAGAGATGCATGCACCAACATCTCAGTGTTAGTAGCAAAAATAATGAGTCTTTCTGAAAGGAATAATATATTCTAAAATGAAATGGGGGATAGTAGTCTGGAGATCTTTTTTAAAGGTTAAAAACTCATTCAATTTTATGTCTTACAGGGTTTATACTGAGTTCAATATTGTATTACTGTATTAATTCAACTATGAACCTAAAAATTTACAATCACCTTTGAAAGAGATGTATGCTTTCTCTGGAGTGTTTTACTAAATATGTTAAAGCTGTAATGAAATGCTTCTTCTAATCATGTGGTTATTAAATTTAAAAAAAATAAGTCTTCAAAGCATAAAAATTTGTTCCTTAATAATTAGATGTGAAAAACATTACCACTGAAATCCACCTGACGACTTGATAGCCATGCTCAGATGCCAAGGAGCTCAGAAAGTAACCGACTGTGACTAGTAACAATTAGATATATAGAGATTAGAAACACGTGTGCAAACATCTTAATGTTGATTACATTAAAATGAATTTTCTGTATGAAACTGCGAATTTTAATAATGAAAGTAGGTCTTTTATAAAGGTTAAAACCTCATTTAATTTTATGTCTTATAGGGTTTATACTGAGGACAGTATTGATTGCATTTAAAATGAAGTTTTCTGCATGAAACTGTGTATTTTAATAATGAAATGGAGATCTTTTTTAAAGGGTAAAACCTTATTTAATTTTATGTCTTATAGAGTTTATAATGAGTAAAAGACTGTACAAGCGTAATAATTACTGTAAACCTAAAAATATACAGCCAATTTTGAAAGAGATGCATCTTAGTTCTGGAAATTGTTATTGAATATATCAATGCTGTTGTAATGAAATTCTTCTTCTAAAAATTATATTGTATGAAATTTGCAAACAACTAATAAAAAAATAGAAATTAAAAAATTCATATTAGGGGACTTTACTATTTTCTCTGGAAATTAAGAAGGCTGGATCACATCAACGAATCTCAAAGTGGGACCATACTATTCCCCAGTACTTAATGTTATATCTTCACGAAATAATGTAGTAAGATGCAATGCTGATGGTACAAAATGGAGATGTGATAAATTTAAGCTGTTGGGGGACACTCCCCATTCCAGATGAGATTTACCATAGGTTGGTATGCTCTGGCTATGGATAAAACTGATCTAACTAGCTGTTTTAGCTCTTTCTGTATAGTTCCTGGACATCTCTGAAGAAGCCTAGTATTGTGAGCCTGGAAACCAAGACAGGTGTCCTCAACTTTGATGCTGTGAGGTTGCAGAATCTGTCCAGTCCACTGGCCAGCACCAGAACTGGTCTCTAAGTACATCATTCTGAGCACTCCACTGTTGGGAACTTCCTGAAACTGAATGGTGAAATTCTAGACTGGGGCTGTCCTAGTTTGCTTCTCTACTGAAGTGATAAACATTATGATCAAAGCAATGTGGGGAAGGAGGGGCTTATTTCACCTTATAGGTTATTGGTTCACCATTGAGGGAAGCCAAGGCAGAATCTCAGGGCAGGAACCTGGATGTAAGAACTGAAGCACAGACCACAGAGGAAGGCTGCTTACTGACTTGCTTCTCTAGTCATTTCTTAGCCTGCTTTCTTATACAACCCAGGACCACCTGTCCAGAGTGGTATCACCTACAGTAGGCTAGGCCCTCCTACATCACTAAACAATCAAGAAAGTGCCTCAAAGACATCACTACAGACCAGTGTGATGGAGGAAACACCCCAATTGATGTTCCTTCTTCCAAGGTGTGTCAAGTTGACAACTGACACTCTCCAGCACAATTGACTCCTGGTCAACTTGACACACAAATACACCACTGTTAAACCGTAACCTCTCCATTTCTTTTTCTTTTTAAATTTATTATTGTTATTATTGTTATTATTATTATTGTTGACTTTTTGAGTCAGAGTCTCCCTGTAGCTCCAGCTGACCTGGAACTCATTATGTAGACCAGGCTGGCCTCCATCTCACAGATATCTGCCTGTGCTGAGACTAAAGGCATGCACCACCACCCTGGCTTCAATCTTTCCATTTCTTGTCCCAAAGATCTCATGTTAATACTAATACCACAATAAAAAACAACACAGCTTTAAAAATCCCACATGTCCTTAAAACCTCCAATACTTAAATTGTCTAAGATCTCTTTAAAAAATCCAGTCTCTTAACACTGTGTAAAACAAGAACAACAAAAAAATAAATATTTCCTTATCTCAACAAGGAATAATCAGGCACATGTAAGCAAAACCAAAGTCCAACAGTGTAACTCAGTGTCCAACATCTGGAATTCAAATAACAATCTTCTGGCTCGAAAGGCCTCAGATGGTTCTATTCCTCCGGCTTTGCCAGTTACAGCACACACTGCTTGTTTCTAGCCTCAGGCTGCCTCTACTCCACACCTGCCACTGTCCTCGGTGGTCATCTCACAGTCCTGAAATCTTCAATACAGTAGACTTTCCAATGCAACTGAGGCTGCACCTTCACCAGTGGCCTCTTCTGGCCTCACAGGGTCACCTTCTCTCCAGGACCCCTTTAATTCTGGGGATTTTCAATGTAAGTGAAGCTGGGCCTTCAACAAAAACCTCTCCTGGCCAGTTTCAAATTCTTCCATAATTCTCCCTAAAACAACATGCAATGTTGTTGTAATGGCCCATACTCAGGTACCAATTTCTGTCCTAGTTTGCTTCTCTACCACTATGGTACATGCCATGGCCAAAGCAAATTGGGGAGGAAAAGGTTTTTCATCTTATAGCTTGTGGTTCATTATTGAGGGAAGCCAAGGCAGGAATCTGGAGCCAGTAACAGAAGCAGAGACCGTGGAAAATGCTGCTTACTGGCTTTCTCCTCTGTTATGTGCTCAGCCTGCTTTCCTATACAACCCAGAAACACCTGCCCAGGGTGGCTCCACCCACAATGGGCTGGGCCTTCCCACATCACTCAACAATCAAGACAGGGCCACAAGCCAGTGTGATGGAAGAAATTCCAAAGTTGAGGTTCTTACTTCCCACACGTGGAACTAAAGCTATCCAGCAGGGGGAATTAGTGAGCTTAGCTGCAGACATAGGCCAGCCTTGTTGCCAGCTCCTTTTATGCCACTGAGCTCAAAATGAGCTCGCCACTCTGTATGGTCAGTCTACCAGGAAAACAAATGTATGGGGGTGATGGGGGGAAGAATATCCTCTTTTTTGCCTCCTGATCTACAAAACCTAAAATATTCACTCTTTGGTCCTTTACTGGAAAGAGCTTTGATCCGAGTGATCTTTGGATTCCATCCAGATTCCAATCCCTAGTGTACTAGCTGCAGAGAAGTAAAATCACACTTGCCTGTCTTTTGCTTTTTTCTGGCAGGTCCAGTGGAGGATCTTCTTTATACTCATTTTGAACTGGTAGGGCCTCACTGGCTTGTTCATTGTCATGAAATGCTTGGATAGCTTCTTGGACAAGGGTATCAATAGATAGTACCTGAACAGGAAACTCTAAAGTACAACAGATAATTTTATAAATAGCTTTTGGGAGTTGACACAGATGTCCTCCTGTTCTAGTTTTAACCTATAATCTTGTTTTCCCTAGAACTGTCCCTTAGATTAAGCCACTCTTCCCTTCTGTTAAAATTCACTTTATATGAAATAAATCATTTCAATCATTTGAAGGGGTACAACTCAGTGACACTGAGACAGCTCACATGCTGAGTGACCATCATGATTACCTTGTTTCAGGAAGTTTTCATCATCTCAAAAGGAAATTCCTGTTCATTAAGCTTGGCACTCCCTGTTTTCCAATCTGTGCTCCTAGGAAACATGAATCACTGGCTATCTCTGTGGATTCTGTGGATTTGCTTATTTTCAGATACTCCATATAAATGCAGTGGTACACTATGTGGTCTCCTATGTCTAGCTTCTGTAAGTTAGCATAATACTGCCAAGAGCAGACACTTTGAAGCATGTATTACTTAGTACCTCACTCATTTTTGTGACCAAATATAATGTGGAAAATCAGATACAGGATCATACTATCATAAAATTTTGATGATAGAGATTCTCTGGATATTACCTTTAGTATGGTTTTAATAGATATAACAATGGTAGCTACAGTCTAAATAGAATCTATTAAGAAAGAAAATGAAGAAGAAAACCTACCTTTTTGTAGTGACTTTAGAGTAGTAGTTTTTCCACTGAGTGTTTTCCCCAGTAAACATCCTTTCACTGCAAATGAAGGTAATTCAGTTTCTGTTGAGACATCTTGAGGAGGAAGAGATTTTTCAATTAATCTTTGTACTACATGGCCCAGTATGTAGTTGTTAGAGGGTGGTAAACTGTCCACCATGTCTTCTGGTATGGCCCATTCTCCAACCATATTCTGAAAAATAACAATCAATCAAACAAAGTGAAACTATTCTTAAAACATGAAATTTAAGCACATATGAAATTTGAATATTAAAAGGGAACCCAAATTGCATCAACAAATACTATTCAGTGCTGTAATTATCTGTTATAATGCAGAAAAATCAACACGATCAATACAATTTTCATACTATGGAGCATTAAAATGAATTTCCTACAATTTTTTTTAAAATTGAAAATATATAGTTTTTGAATTAGGCATTTTGAATTAATTGAAAATTTTTAATCTAGGTTTTTTGACATCATACACAGGCATATTTTATTCTCTTTCTATATTCAAATGTTTTCTGAAAGTAAGCTGCAAACACATTTCTCCTTTACCCTTAAATATTTAAAATATTTTGTTATTTCCTAAAATCAAGAACATTCTCATACATGAAATTGCAGTCATCAAAACCTGGAAATTAACACAACATTGTGATTGTTAATATGTCTGCTAACTTGATAGGCTCTGGCACCACCGAGGTGTGACTCCTGGGATAAGCCTCTGGGATGTCTGTGAGGGAGTTTCTAAATTGGGTTAAATGAAGTAGAAAGTCCCACTCTAGATGTGAGTGACACCATATCATGGCTGGAGTACCAGATTAAATAAAAGGGAGAAAGCAGGAGGAGCCCCAGCTTTCCTCATTGTCCACTCCCCGACTGCAGATGCAACTTGACCAGCAGCCACCTGCCCTTGCTATCAGCCCTTGTACTCCGCTATGATGGGCTGTATTCCCTCAAACTATGAGCCAAAATAAAGGTTTGGTTCCATAAATTGCTTTTTGTCAGGCATTTGATCACAGCAGGAAAACTGTTCTATTGTCTTTCATTAACAAAATTGGAACTCTTGTTTCGTAGTTCAGCATTAATCCATCTGTTATGCCATCTTTAGCTTCCTTTAGTCTGAAGTAATTTTTCAGTCTTTTTTTATGGCTATGACATTAAAATATTATTTTATTTATTATTTTTATTTTATGTAGATGAGTGTATTGCCTGCATGTATGTAAGGGTACCCATGTCATGCAATGCCTGTGGAGGTCAGAAGAGGGCATCAGATTCCCTGGAACTGGAGTTACAGAGAGTTGTTAGCTGCCATGTGGTTGCTGGGAACCGAATTCAGGTCAAGAGCACAGCCAGTGCTCTTAACCACGAAGTCATTTCTCCATCCTCTGACTATGACATTTTTAGAAGAGCAAAGGCCAGTTAATTTGCAAACGGTCCCTTAACTTAGGTTTGACCTATGCTTCCTCATTATAACCAGGCTATTCATTTTTGGTAGAGATTCAGAAAAGGGATTTTGTTTCCTCGAATGCATCTTATTAGAGGGCACATATTATCTGTCTCACAACTGATAAAAAAAAACATTTTTGAGACAACTGAAGAAAAGTAAAGATGATATTTAGTAGTTACTGGCAGTTTTGCTGAATGTCATAATGCTACTGATGCTCTTTTTGTGACGATGGTGCTTACCTGTTCACTATCCATACTACTATACTATACGCTGTGTACACAGTAGGGAAAGCACACACACACACATAGGTATACACATACTACATATAGTTAAACACATACTGCAGGGGAACATGAGCTAATGAATTACACTGAATTTGGTAATAACAACATTATAATACGACCAGCTCTGAATTATTCTAAAATAGTGTAATTTTTGCATTCTTCAGATCTTTGGCCATTTTTTCTTCCCTTCTCTGGGGAAGGGAAGAAAACTATAACTTAATCATTACAGTTACAGTTTATCAATTTATAGCAGAAATCACATCAAACTTGTGACTGGTTGGATGGCAGGGGCCTGTGAGAAAAAGACTGAGAAAAACTAAACTCAGGTTTATAAATTTGAAATATTCCTTCTGACTTTCATGTTCTCCTTATTATAGATAATGAGAAGTTTCATGAACCAAAATCATTTAAGATGACCAAACAATTTCATTTCCAGCCCAAATATTAAAAGTCTGCATTTTATTTTTTTTCTTTATTTCTTAAAAATATTCATGAAAAGAACACACACACAAATCTGATTTCACCAAAGACTAACACTTTGCAGATATTAAATTCTCAAGGATGGTTTCTACTCCATCTCAGGAGAAAAATACGAGTGTGCTTCTGCAGCGTTTTCTTCTAGGTTTTCAAGCATTCCTGTAGTAGCAACTGGCTCAAAGTACTGCTTTGTTTCAAAGCATTCAGTCTGGACGTATCTTCCCTTGATGACAGGAACATTTTTATTTTGCTCTTGAGCTGTCAGGTCGTTCTCATTGTTAGATAATGTACACAGGAGCGTGTCATTCTCATAGGTGGGAAAATAATACTCCAGCTGATGCCAAGCCTTTCAGGAAGTAGTGAAGTGTGTTTTGTTAGTGTGTCAGTTCTCAAATCTGCTTTGGATTTAACTTCACATGGCAACCATAACACCTACACTGGTGAACTTGCCTTCGAATGAAGTTGACCAGTTTTCACTTGCTGATAGAAAATTAATCCAAGCTCTGACTTTATTTGGAGAAGATCAAATTCATGCACGGTCTTCATGTGCACATACAACTTATCAACTGTTTAGTCTTGCTTTTCACAAAATAGACAACAGAGACTGAGTGTTCACACCAGTCGTTTTCTTGATGATCTATCAACTCCTGATCACCTTCCAGTTGCATTTCTTCCCACAATTTTCCGAGGCCCAAATAATACATGATATAAAATTGGTCATGTTCTCTGTTGTTTGGGTTGATCTCACAGTGCTGTTTGTTTTTTTTTGTTTTTTTTCTCATGTGACCTATAACTGTGTTTTTGGCCCTGAAGGTCTCACAGTACAAGCACTGTATTGTCAAGCTTCTTTTGCAATGTACATAGGAATTTACTGCAGCTTGTAATGTTGTCTGGAAAACCAGTATTGAAAGTATGTTCTCTAGTCATGCAGTTCAAAATAACAGCTCTGTTCCTGAGGAAATCCTCACTGCAAAACACACAAATGCCACCAAAGCTGGTATCATTCGTTGCTGTAGTTCCAGAATTTCTTTCAGTCTAGGTTTTTGAAGTCCTCTAGGAATTCCATCTTCTGGCAAAACATCACATAACAAAAAAATAGTTGTCTTGTTCTTCCAGCTGAGCTGTGGAATTGAATCTGATAACACTGCAGAAGTCTATGATGGCCTGTTTAATGAACCTTTTCTTCCAATACAAGATGTACGATTGAAAATCTGCGACCAATCAAATCAGCTATGACAATCTTATGCTCAATAATCATGTGCTTCAGAAGTTTGTCCTGTTCAGACACAGGAAAATGCTCTTCACAGAAAATACAAGGCACAGATGGAGGGCCTTCAAAAGTGGTGCTACCAGTCAAGGATTTTCTTTTCTCTTTGTAGCTAAACTTTTGAGTCTTTAAGCTAGATCTGCTGAAGGGGCACCTCATTTGCCACACCCTGCATCCCTATTCAGCATGGAAGAAGCTGGAATGACCAGTGCCCCAATTCCCTATTGGCAATTAGGGCTACCTCCTCAGAATGACGAGTAATGAGAACAGCAGGTAGAGTTTGACTAGACAGTTTTAAAGACCCCAAAAGAAAAATGAAAGTTGGAAATTTCCTTGGATCTGCCAGTAAACTTATCCCTGAGAATAGATATGCCAGAAAGATCAGAAAAGGGAGGAATCCGTGCTGTTTTTATGCAAATAAATTCTGGCATATTTAGAGGAAATGCAAGGCGGCTATCAATCTGGCGTAGTAAAAAACGCAAGGCAGCTACTACAGAGAATAAAGGCTTGAAACAAACGAATCTTTCTAAATGAGTACCTGGATACTTGGAGCCCTGGCTAGCCCCACGAAGAGGACCAACAGTCATGGTTCTATAAACTCTCATGTTAAGATCTTGGATAATAAACTTACTTACTAAATATATAAAAAACCAGGTAGAGACCATCAGACTTTAGGAAATTAGCCAAGGCTACCAAAGGCTTCCTCTAGAATAAGCATAAGGGATTATGTTGATGAAGAGGAGGGAATATAGTAGAAATTAAACACACACACACACACACACACATCACATGATTGCTAAAAGATCTGCAATGTACTGGCAATGAAACCCTTAGAATGGTTGCTAAGAACTTTGGAGCAGGAAAATCCCTGAGACAGGAAATAGAAATGGGGGAGGTGAACAGGAATCTTCCCCCACCCCTGTGGTTACCCAGGATAAAAGTCTGTTTTCCAAACCTGCCACATTCCTGTAACCTTTGTCAGGATAGAGGTGTCTATTTTCCAAAAAGTGCTGCATTCTTGTAGCCTCTGTGACCATACGTTGCCTGTAAACCACCTACTTATCATCACGTGCTGGCTATTTGCTTTTTGCTTGTATTCCTCACATATGAGTATAAAGGGCCCCAAAAACTGGAGTGAAAGGCTGACATCTTTATGGAATGATCCATGTGTCAGTCCCACTAGCATGAGAATAAACTCCTTCTCCTCACCTGAAAAAACACAAAACATGGTGCTGCCACTGTGACTTTCTGAAAGGAAAAGTGGCTCCAGAATGCAATTCTTACTGCTTTCATGACCTTTGTCCTGGACTGTGCTTCAGACCCAAGCTCTGAGATTGTGGGTGCTGACACCAGCCTCCTGGGCCTAATGATCTAGGTTTTTTTTAAAAAATGTTTTATTTATTAGTTTTATTTTATGGATGAATGTATTGCCTTCATGTGTGTAAGTGCATCTGTGTCATGCAATGCCCACAGAGGTCAGAAGAGGGCATTGAATCCCCTAGAAATGGAGTTATGGACAGTAGTTGGCTGCTGTGTGGGTGCTGGAAATCTAACCTGGGTCCTCTGCAAAGCAGCCAGTGCTCTTAACTGCTGAGCCATTTCTCCAGGCCCTAATTTGGGTTTTGCATTATTTTACTTAAATTCATTTTATGATCATAAACAGAAAAAGATAGTGCATGTGTACAGCTGAAGGCTATATAACCAAAAACACAGTA